TCACCTCCAGCAGCCTGTCCCCCACCTGTCTCACCTCCAGCAGACTGTCCCCCATCTGTCTCACCTCCAGCAGCCTGTCCCCCACCTGTCTCACCTCCAGCAGACTGTCCCCCATCTGTCTCACCTCCAGCAGACTGTCCCCCATCTGTCTCACCTCCAGCAGACTGTGCCCCACCTGTCTCACCTCCAGCAGCCTGTCCCCCACCTGTCTCACCTCCAGCAGCCTGTCCCCCACCTGTCTCACCTCCAGCAGACTGTCCCCCACCAGTGAGACCAGCAGCCTGTCTCACCTCCCCCACCTGTCTCACCTCCAGCAGCCTGTCCCCCCACCTGTCTCACCTCCAGCAGACTGTCCCCCATCTGTCTCACCTCCAGCAGACTGTGCCCCACCTGTCTCACCTCCAGCAGCCTGTCCCCCACCTGTCTCACCTCCAGCAGACTGTCCCCCCATCTGTCTCACCTCCAGCAGACTGTTGCCCCACCTGTCTCACCTCCAGCAGCCTGTCCCCCACCTGTCTCACCTCCAGCAGCCTGTCCCCCACCTGTCTCACCTCCAGCAGCCTGTCCCCCACCTGTCTCACCTCCAGCAGCCTGTCCCCCACCTGTCTCACCTCCAGCAGACTGTCCCCCACCAGTGAGACCAGCAGCTGGTGTCCGTGGCGCTCTCTGATGACAGCGGCGTGTTCGGCTGCAGAGATGCAGGTGAAGTCGAACAAGGCGACGTCTGGTTGGTTGTTTTGGTTTAAGGAGAACTCCAGGGACGGCAGCTGCTGATTGGTCGAGAAGTCTGCGGCCTCGCGGGCGAAGGCCTGCAATGCATGCTGGTCCACGTTGGACCGCGAGAGAAGCTGTGCGGTGTCGGCAAAGTCCTGATGGAGGAGGATTCATTAGAGGTTAGTTCACCTTAATGATTCATTAGAGGTTAGTTCACCCTTAATGATTCATTAGGAGTTAGTTCACCTAATGAATCATTAAGAGTTAGTTCACCTTAATGATTCATTAGAGGTTAGTTCACCTTAATGATTCATTAGAGGTTAGTTCACCCTTAATGATTCATTAGAGGTTAGTTCACCTTAATGATTCATTAGAGGTTAGTTCACCTTAATGATTCATTAGGAGTTTAGTTCACCTTAATGATTCATTAGAGGTTAGTTCACCTTAATGATTCATTAGGAGTTAGTTCACCTTAATGATTCATTAGGAGTTAGTTCACCTTAATGATTCATTAGAGGTTAGTTCACCTTATGATTCATTAGAGGTTAGTTCACCTTAATGATTCATTAGGAGTTAGTTCACCTTAATGATTCATTAGGAGTTAGTTCACCTTAATGATTCATTAGAGGTTAGTTCACCTTAATGATTCATTAGAGGTTAGTTCACCTTAATGATTCATTAGGAGTTAGTTCACCTTAATGATTCATTAGAGGTTAGTTCACCTTAATGATTCATTAGAGGTTAGTTCACCTTAATGATTCATTAGGAGTTAGTTCACCTTAATGATTCATTAGAGGTTAGTTCACCTTAATGATTCATTAGGAGTTAGTTCACCTTAATGATTCATTAGAGGTTAGTTCACCTTAATGATTCATTAGGAGTTAGTTCACCTTAATGATTCATTAGGAGTTAGTTTCACCTTAATGATTCATTAGGAGTTAGTTCACCTTAATGATTCATTAGAGGTTAGTTCACCTTAATGATTCATTAGAGGTTAGTTCACCTTAATGATTCATTAGGAGTTAGTTCACCTTAATGATTCATTAGGAGTTAGTTCACCTTAATGATTCATTAGGAGCTAGTTCACCTTAATGATTCATTAGGAGTTAGTTCACCTTAATGATTCATTAGAGGTTAGTTCACCTTAATGATTCATTAGGAGTTAGTTCACCTTAATGATTCATTAGAGGTTAGTTCACCTTAATGATTCATTAGGAGTTAGTTTCACCTTAATGATTCATTAGAGGTTAGTTCACCGTAATGATTCATTAGGAGTTTAGTTCACCTTAATGATTCATTAGAGGTTAGTTCACCTTAATGATTCATTAGAGGTAGTTCACCTTAATGATTCATTAGAGGTTAGTTCACCGTAATGATTCATTAGGAGTTAGTTCACCTTAATGATTCATTAGAGGTTAGTTCACCTTAATGATTCATTAGGAGTTAGTTCACCTTAATGATTCATTAGAGTTTAGTTCACCTTAATGATTACATTAGAGGTTAGTTCACCTTAATGATTCATTAGAGGTTAGTTCACCTTAATGATTCATTAGAGGTTAGTTCACCTTAATGATTCATTAGGAGTTAGTTCACCTTAAGATTCATTAGGAGTTAGTTCACCTTAATGATTCATTAGAGGTTAGTTCACCTTAATGATTCATTAGGAGTTAGTTCACCTTAATGATTCATTAGAGGTTTGTTAGTTCACCTTAATGATTCATTAGAGGTTAGTTCACCTTAATGATTCATTAGGAGTTAGTTCACCTTAATGATTCATTAGGAGTTAGTTCACCTTAATGATTCATTAGAGGTTAGTCACCTTAATGATTCATTAGGAGTTAGTTCACCTTAATGATTCATTAGAGGTTAGTTCACCTTAATGATTCATTAGGAGTTAGTTCACCTTAATGATTCATTAGAGGGTTAGTTCACCTTAATGATTCATTAGGATTAGTTCACCTTAATGATTCATTAGGAGTTAGTTCACCTTAATGATTCATTAGAGGTTAGTTCACCTTAATGATTCATTAGAGTTAGTTCACCTTAATGATTCATTAGGAGTTAGTTCACCTTAATGATTCATTAGGAGTTAGTTCACCTTAATGATTCATTAGAGGTTAGTTCACCTTAATGATTCATTAGAGGTTAGTTCACCTTAATGATTCATTAGGAGTTAGTTCACCTTAATGATTCATTAGAGTTAGTTCACTTAATGATTCATTAGGAGTTAGTTCACCTTAATGATTCATTAGGAGTTAGTTCACCTTAATGATTCATTAGGAGTTAGTTCACCTTAATGATTCATTAGGAGTAGTTAACCTTAATGATTCATTAGAGGTTAGTTATCATTAATGATTCATTAGAGGTTAGTTCACCTTAATGATTCATTAGGAGTTAGTTCACCTTAATGATTCATTAGGAGTTAGTTCACCTTAATGATTCATTAGGGTTAGTTCACCTTAATGATTCACAGAGTGTTTCACCTTAATGATTCATTAGGGTTAGTTCACCTTAATGATTCATTAGGATTAGTTCACCTTAATGATTCATTAGGAGTTAGTTCACCTTAATGATTCATTAGAGGTTAGTTCACCTTAATGATTCATTAGAGGTTAGTTCACCGTAATGATTCATTAGGAGTTAGTTCACTTAATGATTCATTAGAGGTTAGTTCACCTTAATGATTCATTAGAGGTTAGTTCACCTTAATGATTCATTAGGAGTTAGTTCACCTTAATGATTCATTAGGAGTTAGTTCACCTTAATGATTCATTAGAGGTTAGTTCACCTTAATGATTCATTAGGAGTTAGTTCACCTTAATGATTCATTAGAGGTTAGTTCACCTTAATGATTCATTAGAGGTTAGTTCACCTTAATGATTCATTAGGAGTTAGTTCACCTTAATGATTCATTAGGAGTTAGTTCACCTTAATGATTCATTAGAGGTTAGTTCACCTTAATGATTCATTAGGAGTTAGTTCACCTTAATGATTCATTAGGAGTTAGTTCACCTTAATGATTCATTAGGAGTTAGTTCACCTTAATGATTCATTAGGAGTTAGTTCACCTTAATGATTCATTAGAGGTTAGTTCACCTTAATGATTCATTAGGAGTTAGTTCACCTTAATGATTCATTAGGAGTTAGTTCACCTTAATGATTCATTAGGAGTTAGTTCACCTTAATGATTCATTAGGAGTTAGTTCACCTTAATGATTCATTAGAGGTTAGTTCACCTTAATGATTCATTAGAGGTTAGTTCACCTTAATGATTCATTAGGAGTTAGTTCACCTTAATGATTCATTAGAGGTTAGTTCACCTTAATGATTCATTAGGAGTTAGTTCACCCTTAATGATTCATTAGGAGTTAGTTCACCTTAATGATTCATTAGAGGTTAGTTCACCTTAATGATTCATTAGAGGTTAGTTCACCTTAATGATTCATTAGGAGTTAGTTCACCTTAATGATTCATTAGGAGTTAGTTCACCTTAATGATTCATTAGGAGTTAGTTCACCTTAATGATTCATTAGAGGTTAGTTCACCTTAATGATTCATTAGAGGTTAGTTCACCTTAATGATTCATTAGGAGTTAGTTCACCTTAATGATTCATTAGAGGTTAGTTCACCTTAATGATTCATTAGAGGTTAGTTCACCTTAATGATTCATTAGGAGTTAGTTCACCTTAATGATTCATTAGAGGTTAGTTCACCTTAATGATTCATTAGGAGTTAGTTCACCTTAATGATTCATTAGGAGTTAGTTCACCTTAATGATTCATTAGGAGTTAGTTCACCTTAATGATTCATTAGAGGTTAGTTCACCTTAATGATTCATTAGGAGTTAGTTCACCTTAATGATTCATTAGAGGTTAGTTCACCTTAATGATTCATTAGGAGTTAGTTCACCTTAATGATTCATTAGAGGTTAGTTCACCTTAATGATTCATTAGGAGTTAGTTCACCTTAATGATTCATTAGAGGTTAGTTCACCTTAATGATTCATTAGGAGTTAGTTCACCTTAATGATTCATTAGGAGTTAGTTCACCTTAATGATTCATTAGGAGTTAGTTCACCTTAATGATTCATTAGGAGTTAGTTCACCTTAATGATTCATTAGAGGTTAGTTCACCTTAATGATTCATTAGGAGTTAGTTCACCTTAATGATTCATTAGAGGTTAGTTCACCTTAATGATTCATTAGGAGTTAGTTCACCTTAATGATTCATTAGGAGTTAGTTCACCTTAATGATTCATTAGAGGTTAGTTCACCTTAATGATTCATTAGAGGTTAGTTCACCGTAATGATTCATTAGGAGTTAGTTCACCTTAATGATTCATTAGAGGTTAGTTCACCTTAATGATTCATTAGAGGTTAGTTCACCTTAATGATTCATTAGAGGTTAGTTCACCGTAATGATTCATTAGGAGTTAGTTCACCTTAATGATTCATTAGAGGTTAGTTCACCTTAATGATTCATTAGGAGTTAGTTCACCTTAATGATTCATTAGAGGTTAGTTCACCTTAATGATTCATTAGAGGTTAGTTCACCTTAATGATTCATTAGAGGTTAGTTCACCTTAATGATTCATTAGGAGTTAGTTCACCTTAATGATTCATTAGAGGTTAGTTCACCTTAATGATTCATTAGAGGTTAGTTCACCTTAATGATTCATTAGAGGTTAGTTCACCTTAATGATTCATTAGGAGTTAGTTCACCTTAATGATTCATTAGGAGTTAGTTCACCTTAATGATTCATTAGAGGTTAGTTCACCTAATGATTCATTAGGAGTTAGTTCACCTTAATGATTCATTAGAGGTTAGTTCACCTTAATGATTCATTAGGAGTTAGTTCACCTTAATGATTCATTAGAGGTTAGTTCACCTTAATGATTCATTAGGAGTTAGTTCACCTTAATGATTCATTAGGAGTTAGTTCACCTTAATGATTCATTAGAGGTTAGTTCACCTTAATGATTCATTAGGAGTTAGTTCACCTTAATGATTCATTAGGAGTTAGTTCACCTTAATGATTCATTAGAGGTTAGTTCACCTTAATGATTCATTAGAGGTTAGTTCACCTTAATGATTCATTAGGAGTTAGTTCACCTTAATGAATCATTAAGGTTAGTTCACCTTAATGATTCATTAG